GTGTTGTTGTTTAATAAGTTTAATTACTGGAAAATGATAACGACATACACTGATCGTAATGTCTGCCGCGTTCTTAAGAACATAAATGCACATTATCAACCCGATTAAACTCCAACCGCAATATCAATCAAATTGATTAAAGGTAAAAACATAGAGGAAAAACAAGTTTAACCACTCTTTCAGCTATTTTTTTTCGATCCAGAAAAGTTGCCAAATGAGTGATTCTTTGGCTTCATGTTATAAATGTCCCATGAATAAAATGCCAGTATTAGTTAGATGTATAAGTAACTTGATGGTAGATAATACTCATTACATATTAACAGCAGCAGCTTAGGGAGAATGACGCTGAATAGCAGATCAAGGTTCATACAATAAACTACAATATGTGCCGGCAGTTGTTGTATTGATGAGATCGCTGGAGGCCTATACATATTCGATCATTTTCCCTGGCAAGGAGATCGCGCGAAGTAATAAGTAGCAAGCACAGGCCAGATTTTATTGCAGTCGGAAAATTAATAATTCGGAATTCTGTCGGATAGACTTAGATATTCCGTAGTTTATATTACATAGGCCATGTTTGATGACTGTTTAGTGAAACACGTGACACCACCAGGATCTAATATCCCTGTGTTATTATTTTACACAGGAAAATAACCCCTTATAATTCATACAGATTTGCATAAATAAAGAAACGAACCGTTTTACAGAGATGGTATCAGAAAACAGAGATCAATATATGCTGTAAAATCTGGACGATTTATACCAGACATTGATCTATGATACAATCGATCCCGTAGTTTAAGACTGTTGTATGTGTATGTAGATACGGCTGTTCAGTGTCCTATCCATACCGTTAAGTAAAGTGTCTGGTCGAACGAAGGCCTACGTGAGGACCTGCTGTTGCCAGAATGATTTCCACACTGGTCTTTTATACTTAGTTTCAACAGGTTAGGCCTTTAGTTTCACGGTCGAGTCCCAGAAGGCCGAAACAGAGGCATGACGTAGTTTCTTGGACTATTTGGCTCTACTCTGTATATATGTAAAGTCTTAACTGAAAAGTGCAGTTCACTTTTTGTGTAATTTTGCAACCAATGAGTCACAAGAAAAGACCAGGTCGAACTTCATAGACGTAACAGTACTTGTTTTTACTTTTCAACAAATTTACGTTGAAGTGATCCCTTGTATTGTTTCAGCTTTAAATGCATTATACCAAACCAATTATACCAAACTAATTATACCAAACCATTTATACCAAACCAATTATACCCAACAATTATACCAAACTAAATATACCAAACCAATTATACCAAACTAAGTATACCAAACCAATCTGTCAACAATACATTTATTTTATTTTCAACATGTTTGAAATAGCTATACTTACAAACATCTTGAGGTGTCTAGCACATACTAGACCGTCACCGCCATTATTCCCCGGACCGCAGCAAACCAGAACAGCATGGTTGTCACGTGTCATCGTTTCGGGAGGGTAGCACTGAAAAGTCATCAATAATATCAGTTATTTATATACCTCCATTAAACAGCAAGGACATTGTGACATGCAATTCGTCAGTTTATTATGTTTGACAATTACATTCGTTCTTTTGAAATATTTTTGAAATAATTTAACATAAAACTGTTTAATGATTTTCATCTTCAAACTAATCAATTCAATGTGAAACTGATTATCAAATTGAAGTATGGAGATTGAAGAAGGAATTTCCGCAGCTCTGAGTCTACCTCGGTAATAAGAGGATTAACACGTGCATGTTTAGATAAACTGCTGTATTACTGAAGGACCAACGTTTTGTAGTAAGCGCGGCAATGTTCCACAAAAGCGACCTATATACCGTATTATTTATGTTAGGTAAGTGGCATCAGTGTGTGTGACCTAATTTTGTGACAACAGTGTGTGTGACCTAGATTTGCGACAACAGTGTGTGTGACCTAGATTTGTGACAACGGTGTGTGTGACCTAGATTTGTGACATCAGTGTGTGTGTGACCTAGATTTGTGACATCAGTGCGTGTGACCTAGATTTGTGACAACAGTGTGTGACCTAGATTTGTGACATCAGTGTGTATGACCTAGATTTGTGGCAACAGTGTGTGTGTGACCTAGATTTGTGACACCAGTGTGTGTGTGTGACCTAATTTTGTGACATCAGTGTGTGTGTGACCTAGATTTGTGACAACAGTGTGTGTGTGACCTAGATTTGTGACAACAGTGTGTGTGACCTAATTTTGTGACAACAGTGTGTGTGTGACCTAGATTTGTGACAACAGTGTGTGTGTGACCTAGATTTGTGACAACAGTGTGTGTGACCTAATTTTGTGACAACAGTGTGTGTGACCTAGATTTGTGACAACAGTGTGTGTGTCCTAGATTTGTGACAACAGTGTGTGTGACCTAGATTTGTGACAACAGTGTGTGTGACCTAGATTTGTGACAACAGTGTGTGTGTCCTAGATTTGTGACAACAGTGTGTGTGACCTAGATTTGTGTGGCGGGTGTCGTCGACGAGATGAAGCAAAAACGTCTAAAATACAAATGCCGCTGTTTTGGGGGTTTTTCATGCCTTGTCCGCATTTTATCTTTGTGAGAATGAAGTTTACGCCTAGGCTTCAATATTTAGGCCTTTAGCATCACTGAGGAACATATCTTTATTCACTATTTATACATTATCAATAGGTGTTATTCAATTGCGTGTCTGTTGTGGAATCTATTGGATACAAATATTTCACTTATTATAAAACACTTCCCGAAAGGTTAAATGCTTATTTAGATGTATGATGATGTCTTGTTTAATATACAGACATGAAAAAAAGAGAAAAAAATCCAAGGTATCAATACATCAAAATCAAAAATCAATTTCAATAAAACTAGGGCAAAATATGAACTAAAGAAAGATTTACATGGAGACTCTTGCTAAAGTACAAGAAGGATAAGACCAGGTGTTCCCGACGACAAGCGTAAACACACAGAGACCACGCTAATTAGCACGCCGCGGTTAGGAGAACAATTTGACACAATATCGTAAAGGTAAACAGTGGGAGATCTTAATTAAAATAAACAAGGGACCTGGCATCTATAGCCAAAGTTGTTTATACATCAGCGTAGGTTAACGATAAAACACAGGCACCATTTGACAGGGAGTATCAAAGTCAATGATGAACTGTAACAGTAACGTCTAGAGTAGCTACTATCGCTCAAGGGGTACTATTAGCTGTATTCAGCTCTTCTTCACTGGCGGAGAAATATCAGCGACCACAACTTCATCAGTCCTTGTCATATCTGGATCGCCAAGATATTACTGTTTTAATGTGTTTCTGACAGCATCTTTTTCGTGACAAGTAGAATCAATAGGACAGAGTGTTCCCGCCAAATGTAATCAATACCACACAGAGGTACCGCCAAGTACCGATTAATCACGGGCCATTCAACACTGGTGTTAACCATGCTTTCTGTCAAACTGTCTCCTTTGTCTCTAAAAACCTCTTTTCAGATAAATTGTATCATCTCTTGCAGTTACTGTTCTGTTATCAGAAATAACTCTTCATCTCCGATAACAACTGTTCGGAAAAAGAAAACAATCCTCTTCATTTGTACAAACTATTTGGGATATCTCGAACAGGATCCATCCCCGTAAATACTTACGTTTCAGTCGCATAGGAAGCAGGGATTGGGGGTGGAGGTTCAGAGGGGCAATCCCTCTCTTCCCCGGCAAATACATATATATTGTTCCCTTACGCACATACACAATTTATAATTGTATATTTTAACAATGAATTAAATTCTAACATTTGTTTCTATGAATATTTGTAAATTTTGAAGCGAGTGAAGTGTGAATCTCACAGATTTAACATTGATATCACTCTCATATGAAACTTGTACTGTCATAATCAATGCATTCTGTCCGTTTGCTGGGGATCAGAAATTCCGCAAAATTTCCTTCTTTCGACGTTACAAAAGCGACTCAAGAATGCTCATTTTCTACTCTCCGAAAGAACAAGACCAATCTGCACAGGCGAATGACTAAATGATTGTTAGCTTTGCAATGTGCACAATATATGCTGTGGATAAAGAAAACCTGAATGTGATAGCAAAAATTGTTTTGGAAAGCAATGGTAGGTGAAGGAATCGTTCCGGAATGTTCGGGGTATATCTTAATACTGATTTCTGGTTCTAGTTTAATTTGTATTTTTGTGATTGGTCGTATATTGTGACGTCACAATTGTCAGGATACACGTACGTTTTCTATCTGAAATGTTAAAATGTTGATTATATCACGGTTTTAGAACTACTTCCGATTGATTCATTGCTTCACACGGTGGGTACAAGATTGGGATGAATTCGTGTAACTTGAACCGTCACTTTTAAGTTTACCGTTTATGTTATCAATGAATTATGCACCATTATGTTGAGGACACTCCTGTCTTGTATTGAAAGTTTCTGTAAAAGACTTTTAAAAGACAAGAGATCCCAGAGGGATCTTGGCGCCAACCATTTGAGGATCTGTTTTCAGTTCTTGAAGATTTTTGTTTGTTTGTTACAGGTGTTGTAAATGTTCATGAACTGGTCTTCATTGAATGTACTCAATGATGGCACAAGATATTTTTATTAAGCACCTATTAGCAAATATCATTTGAAAAAATCCCAAAGTATTATTAGATAGCAGTCAGTTACAGGTGGATAATGGACAATATGCTTGTGCTGTATTACTGTCGACATCCAGGATGGCTGCCTGTGGGCCACCTTGATTTCAAATCAGTCCAAAAAAGCTACAATGCACAACTAGGGACCAAGGGAAACCAATATCTATGAAATATCAGAAGGATCCATCCTGGACTTCCTCAGATATAGCAGTAACAAGATTTTACTCTCAAAATCCAAAATGGCTGCCTGTCAGCCATCTTGATTTCGGATCAGTCCAAAAAGGTATAATGCACAACTTGGAACCAAAGGGAACCTGCATATGAAATTTGAGGAAGATCCATCTAGTACTTTCTCAGAAATAGCGGTAACAAACTTTTGCTTCCAAAATCCAAGATGGCCACCTGTCGGCCATCTTGAATTCGAATCAGTCCAAAAAAGGTACAATGCACAACTAGGGACCAAGGGGAAACTGCATATGAAATTTGAGAAATATCCATCCAGTACTTTTCCAGAAATAGCGGTAACAAACTTTTACTTCCAAAATCCAAGATGGCCACCTGTCGGCCATCTTGAATGCGAATCAGTTCAAGAAAGGTACAATGCACAACTAGGGACCAAGGGGAACCTGCATATGAAATTTGAGAAAGATCCATCCAGTACTTTTCCAGAAATAGCGGTAACAAAAATTGTTTACGGACGGACGGACGCCTGGACGGACGGACGACGGACCACGGACGCAGGGCGATTTGAATAACCCACCATCTATTTGAATAGATGGTGGGCTAAAAAACGACTTCAATTTCACATTAGAATCCAAGAACAGCACAACATCAAGGTAAAGTACATCACACACATGATGTATCGTCTTCCGAGGGCCAAGATGACTTAAACAATTCTCATTTTTCGCTCTGGTTTCTACCATCATAAATCATTAAATATGACATTTCCAGAACAAGAGACAAACGATTTTAAAGAATGTTAAAACTTACAACTTTGTGTTCCCTAACCCAATCAACAAAACGATGATAAACCTTTCTCAAATTCCATTAAAACGATCCACAAATGTGTGTGCAGCAGCGTACCTAACATTTCAAACGACACAGCCTGACCTTTTGGAACGCAAGACCTTATAACCAACCAATTCCTTAATTGAATAATAACCTTCTCTATTGTTGCTATCATACAGCTACAAAAAGTACAATACATCACTTTGATTAATTATTAACAACCAAATCAATTAAGCTCGAAACATTGCAGTTTACCATTCAATGACTTTAAATGATGTTGTATAAAGTACATGCGTTCATCTCAGGATTTTATAAACATCAATTTTAAATGACTTGTAGTATAATTTGATCACTAAATCGCTACTGTTCGATTATTGTCGTAACTATTTCCCTTTGATCCTTGAATTACATCCCCTTAGGAATCCCCCGTTTGTACGCTGTGTTATGTACCAGCATAAAACGACACTGGCGGTGAATATGAAGAACCACGGGGAATTATAAGTATGCCTTAGCTAGCGAAAGATTGATGTTGTGTTTTTTTTCTAGAATTTCGTGTGTTGTCGCATTGGCTCCCCTTTTATTATCAATGTATGACTTTAGGTCGGGATGGCATACTGGTGCATGAACGTTGAAAACCAATTTAAATCCATTTGAAGCTAAATCCTTTTGTGATCACGATGTACAATATTTCTATAGACATTCTGTTCAGACTCCCTTTGTATATTGACATTGTGGAGATATGAAATCAGCTTTCAGCTTGGATTGTGTCGATGTGAGGACAAAGCAATATTCTTTGTATTGATTGTACCAATCTTATAAACATAACAGGAGGAAACAGGGCAGATTATAAATAACATATAAATATAACAGGGGGGGCATGGGAAACAGGGCATTATAAACATAACAGGGGAAACAGGGCAGATTATAAACATAACAGGGGGAAACAGGGCAGATTATAAACATAACAGGAGGAAACAGGACAGATTATAAACATAACAGGGGGAAACAGGGCAGATTATAAACATAACAGGAGGAAACAGGGCAGATTATAAACATAACAGGGGGAAACAGGGCAGATTATAAACATAACAGGGGGAAACAGGGCAGATTATAAACATAACACGGGGAAACAGGACAGATTATAAACATAACAGGGGGAAACAGGGCAGATTATAAACATAACAGGAGGACACAGGGCAGATTATAAACATAACAGGAGGAAACAGGGCAGATTATAAACATAACAGGGGGAAACAGGGCAGATTATAAACATAACAGGGGGAAACAGGGCAGATTATAAACATAACAGGGGGAAACAGGGCAGATTATAAACATAACAAGGGGAAACAGGGCAGATTATAAACATAACAGGGGGAAACAGGGCAGATTATAAACATAACAGGAGGAAACAGGGGGCAGATTATAAACATAACAGGAGGAAACAGGGCAGATTATAAACATAACAGGGGGAAACAGGGCAGATTATAAACATAACAGGGGAAACAGGACAGATTATAAACATAACAGGAGGAAACAGGGCAGATTATAAACATAACAGGGGGAAACAGGACAGATTATAAACATAACAGGAGGAAACAGGGCAGATTATAAACATAACAGGAGGAAACAGGGCAGATTATAAACATAACAGGGGGAAACAGGGCAGATTATAAACATAACAGGGGGAAACAGGGCAGATTATAAACATAACAGGAGGAAACAGGGCAGATTATAAACATAACAGGGGGAAACAGGGCAGATTATAAACATAACAGGAGGAAACAGGACAGATTATAAACATAACAGGAGGAAACAGGACAGATTATAAACATAACAGGAGGAAACAGGGCAGATTATAAACATAACAGGGGGAAACAGGACAGATTATAAACATAACAGGGGGAAACAGGGCAGATTATAAACATAACAGGGGGAAACAGGGCAGATTATAAACATAACAAGGGGAAACAGGGCAGATTATAAACATAACAAGGGGAAACAGGGCAGATTATCAACATAACAGGGGGAAACAGGGCAGATTATAAATATAACAGGGGGAAACAGGGCAGATTATAAACATAACAGGAGGAAACAGGGCAGATTATAAACATAACAGGGGGAAACAGGGCAGATTATAAACATAACAGGAGGAAACAGGGCAGATTATAAACATAACAGGGGGAAACAGGGCAGATTATAAACATAACAGGGGGAAACAGGGCAGATTATAAACATAACAGGGGGAAACAGGGCAGATTATAAACATAACAGGGGGAAACAGGGCAGATTATAAACATAACAGGGGGAAACAGAAACAGGACAGATTATAAACATAACAGGAGGAAACAGGGCAGATTATAAACATAACAGGGGGAAACAGGGCAGATTATAAACATAACAGGGGGAAACAGGGCAGATTATAAACATAACAGGAGGAAACAGGGCAGATTATAAACATAACAGGAGGAAACAGGGCAGATTATAAACATAACAGGAGGAAACAGGGCAGATTATAAACATAACAGGAGGAAACAGGGCAGATTATAAACATAACAGGAGGAAACAGGGCAGATTATAAACATAACAGGAGGAAACAGGGCAGATTATAAACATAACAGGAGGAAACAGGGCAGATTATAAACATAACAGGAGGAAACAGGGCAGATTATAAACATAACAGGGGGAAACAGGGCAGATTATAAACATAACAGGAGGAAACAGGAGCAGGGCAGATTATAAACATAACAGGAGGAAACAGGGCAGATTATAAACATAACAGGGGGAAACAGGGCAGATTATAAACATAACAGGGGGAAACAGGGCAGATTATAAACATAACAGGAGGAAACAGGGCAGATTATAAACATAACAGGAGGAAACAGGGCAGATTATAAACATAACAGGGGGAAACAGGGCAGATTATAAACATAACAGGGGGAAACAGGACAGATTATAAACATAACAGGTGGAAACAGGGCAGATTATAAACATAACAGGGGGAAACAGGGCAGATTATAAACATAACAGGGGAAACAGGGCAATACATAACATTATAAACATAAAATTAATTAAAACATTCCGATTATCTCCCTTGTGTACACTGTCTCTCTTCTGGATTGTGTTTCAGTTTATACAATATGTTCTCCGTATGTAAGGGTCATATGATTATGATTTTAAACATTGAGGCCAAAGAGTGTTTACAAGAACACGTGTTCTCTAATTATGACATTTGCACTTTATATAATCTGGCTGTATACACTTCTATACGGCGGCCATCACGTGATCCATTCCTAGCTAATAAACATCAATATATGTGCTAATAACAGTCTGAAGACACAATGTTCCAGGAGTAAGTCCTTATAAAATAATGCACTCACAGATTTCTTAAACTATTCATCACAAGCAGCAGCTGAAATGATTGTCTGGTTAAACATATATGTAAATGTCCATTACCAGCTAGGAGATACGATTGGAAACGGTTCCGAACAAAACAGCACGACGACAGATCTTTAGTAATTATCTAACCAATTAATCTACAACGAGGTTTATTACAGTACACAACGAAATTATAATGCATTCAATGGTTTACCCATTCTGTCGGCATTATCTACATCACTCTCCCAGACAGCATTATCACTTATCTAGTGAATACGTTTTCAATGTCGGTTTTCATCGAGTACTGTCTAGAAGGAAGCAGCTAAGGTGTCAGTTCTTACCAGCGACACGAATTATCGGTATACCTTAATAAGATTCCGAATGGGTTATAAAACAGAACTGTAACAATCTATAAACAGACTAAAGAGAATAGCACATTTCTGTTTCCGGGAAGAATAAAGCACTTTTAACTCATATTTGCTGAATCGTTTTCAATTTTTACTTTCAGATTTATTGATGTTTTGTCTTTAAATGAAAATGAATCCCATCGTCTACAACCCCAACCATTAGAAATGGTGGACATGACAAACGCGTATATATCAGCTGCTTAGCTCTCGTTTTTCTACAGTTAAACAAAAAATGATGGCATTCTGCCAAGATATATATTATCTTAGTTTAAACTAAAAATCCGGTGAAATTATTGCAAAATATGAAAAAGTAGGATTAACAATAAGGTACCTAAGACCAGGTGTTCAAGAATAGTCAGCGTTTTCTGCTTAATCAATGATATCCACAATGCCATTCTTGGTCAATCCAAGAAGTACCGCCATCCACATTCATATTTTGTACTGACCTTTGCTATGGCAACAGCGCAACTGTAGCCGGCAAGTTCCATCAACTGGTCCACACTGAACCTGTACTCGTCAAACAATTCTTCGTCGATCTTTTGAGCTTCATCTTGACTGCAATGAAGAACAAAAATATACACATATAAATAGCACTCCCCAATTCTTATAAAGTTACAATGAATATATCTGCATCAAATTGCTTTTAAATCGTCTTCAGTGACGTTAGCGTCAGTGTGTCTGAAATTCTAGGACTCGATCTGAATCTACAGAATGTACACTATACAAAGGCTAATAATTATCGTCCCTTTGTATATTAAACACTGAACATCATTATCCCATGTCTAAACAGAAACACCAAAATCACCATCAAAGTGTTCTGGACATTAAAACAGAATGCCAGGTAACAATACTCATCAAATTATTGCCAAACAGTTTATTTCTGTCGCTGAGTTTGAGAAACAGATGATGTGACTACACCAATAAAGCAGGACACGTTTAAAGGATATAATTAGGACTGCTGCACTTCCCCGTATAGATTTTGGCTTTTCTTTTGATCCCTTTGAATTTTCCTAAGTCGCCTAATAGGCTTCAAAAGTTAGACCCTTAGCATCACTGACGAGTCCTAGAAGGACGATACAGCTGTATGGTGCAGCTACAGCTGTATGGTGTAGCATCACTGACGAATCCTAGAAGGACAATACAGCTGTATGGTGCAGCTACAGCTGTATGGTGTAGCATCACTGACGAATCCTAGAAGGACAATACAGCTGTATGGTGTAGCATCACTGACGTGTCCTAGAAGGATGTAACAGCTGTATGATGTAGCATCACTGACGTGTCCTAGAAGGATGTAACAGCTGTATGGTGTATCATCACTGACGAGTCATAGAAGGACAATACAGCTGTATGATGTATCATCACTGAAGAGTCATAGAAGGACAATACAGCTGTATGATGTAGCATCACTGAAGAGTTATAGAAGGACAATACAGCTGTATGATGTAGCATCACTGACGAGTCATAGAAGGACAATACAGCTGTATGGTGTAGCATCACTGACGTGTCCTAGAAGGATGTAACAGCTGTATGATGTAGCATCACTGACGTGTCCTAGAAGGATGTAACAGCTGTATGGTGTATCATCACTGACGAGTCATAGAAGGACAATACAGCTGTATGATGTATCATCACTGAAGAGTCATAGAAGGACAATACAGCAGTATGATGTAGCATCACTGACGAGTCATAGAAGGACAATACAGCTGTATGATGTATCATCACTGACGAGTCATAGAAGGACAATACAGCTGTATGGTGTAGCTACAGCAGTATGGTGTAGCATCACTGAAGAGTCATAGAAGGACAATACAGCTGTATGATGTAGCATCACTGAAGAGTCATAAAAGGACAATACAGCTGTATGATGTAGCATCACTGACGAGTCCTTGAAGGACAATACAGCTGTATGATGTAGCATCACTGACGAGTCCTTGAAGGACGATACAGCTGTATGATGTAGCATCACTGACGAGTCCTAGAAGGACAATACAGCTGTATGATGTAGAATCACTGACGAGTCCTAGAAGGACGAAACATCTGTATGATGCAGGATCACTGACGAGTCCTAGAAGGACTTAACAGCTGTATGATGCAGGATCACTGACGAGTCCTAGAAGGACGTAACAGCTGTATGATGCAGAATCACTGACGAGTCCTAGAAGGACTTAACAGCTGTATGATGCAGGATCACTGACGAGTCCTAGAAGGACTCAACAGCTGTATGATGTAGTTTAATTCATAGTTTAGCTCTACTGTATCTTACTCTAAATTCTGAAAGGTCTATTCACTTGTGTGTCTTTTGTACATGTTTTGGAAGAAAACAGGCATACTGATGTTGTCAGTCTGGTGACCCGATGCGTCCAATCGGACACCTCAGGTGAACTGTGAGGGTGTTACCGCCACCGTCCACTCAATCACATGTATAAGAATTGCTCCAACAATAATATATGAAATGAGTATTTCATGTGTTCTACATGGAGCAGGACCATCAACAGGACGATATGAATAAAAAAATAAATAACGTCACTGATGATGTGTGGTACTCCACTTTACAAACTGAGAACAATCCATCAAACACTGCTGATTTACATTTCATTACAGGATGAAGTGTTAATGACGTTAGATCATCAATGTTCTTGTAACGACCAGAAGGCTTCGATGTCTTTAACAACTCATATTTTAAGTGTCGTGTAATGTTTATGCAATACGTCACCAAACTACAGCCGTTCTATTTTCTTTTCATGATCAAACGTTCCGTCAAATACTCTTCTTTATCTACAATCACATGTTTTATGTTATTGATGGTCTGATCTGTAGACAATATCATAATCCTATATTTCACCTCTTTGTTCAGGCCAATACCTTGGAATTCTCGGAAGTTTCTGATTCTTATGATGGCTGTTCCTTCAGTCTACCAAACAATATGTTCCAGTACAATTCATTCAGAATTCTAAATTTTAAACTGAAGACAATATTGCACGGCGAGCTACATTATAAAGACAATAGATAGAAAATTAAAACGCCTTTCAAGCGATTTCATTACACGACGTTTAACTATATGTTTACTATGCGTTTCACTGAGCGCTCCACGTTCAGTATCTCATATCGCTATTTGTGACCATTTGATTAAACCAACAGACCGAACTATAATCCTCTAAGGTATTTGATTCATTAAAAAGGAAATTAAAATGAAGTTGCGTTCGGTATTTATTTTGATAGTATAACCAGAAGACATCACTCAACACAAATACCGAGTTTACTGTGACGGTGGTATGCGACACGACAAATAGGAAATTGGTTTTCGAGTCATCATGACAACACTTAGACATTTACATCGCTGATGTACGTGACCATCATCTTTGAGGCAGAATGAGGATTTATTCACTTAACATTAAAGGCGAAAGGCCTTACATTGGGACTTGTGACTGATATATTTTAAGTTTTTGATTGAACCATTCAACTGTCTCGTCAATCAGCGTCTCATCAGTGGTGATAAGGACCCAAACGATTGAAATTGAAAATAGGAATCTTTCTGATTGTGTACGTCAATATGAAGTAACAGTTTACGTTTTACCCGTGTATCAGTTTTCTCTCGGCAGATTCACTCTTAGAGATGCAATAATGAACATAAGAGTTCATGTTTTGCCGGTAATAACGTTGTTAGCCTTTGCAAGTTTTCCGTTGATCCAAAAGATAAAAACATTATGCTTGACTAAACTACTAGATTTGAATTTGATAGCCATTCAGAGAGACGTTCGCGAGGAACTTATCAACTAATCTAAGGCAAAAATGACGTAATCGTTTCTTAATACAAATAATGTTGTTTACAAGATAGAACATGCTCTGTTGGCTATATCAGATGAAGTTTGACCGTCAACGAAACTGAGTGACTTCATCCTGAAACATCGCTAAAAATTTACAGTCCTGCTGGTATTTGCAATCTGAAAATGGAAGACGATATCATCCGTCATCACAACAGTTGGTCTGATAACGAACTAATTAGGGAGTACATCTGTGTTAGCATGTTAATTGATTGGCATTCGTGGGCATCGGAGATATTATACAAGCATTTTACCACAGAACTATAAAGGTTAACACATCACGTGATCACGAAATTACTGATCGGAAGATATTTGAACATTACAGTTCTTAGTAGATAGACTGACAGGGATAATAACATTTCACTAAATATTATATTGATTTCATTGGTGAGTACTTATCAGCTACAGGAAATCATTAAAATCTATCTGTGTTGTCCCTACCGCCACGATTCAACGAAGAAATCTAACTGTGTTGTCCCTACCGCCACGATTCAACGAAGAAATCTAACTGTGTTGTCCCTACCGCCACGATTGAACGAAGAAATCTAACTGTGTTGTCCCTACCGCCAAGATTAAACGAAAAAAATCTAACTGTGTTGTCCCTACCGCCAAGATTAAACGAAAAAAATCTAACTGTGTTGTCCCTACCGCCACGATTCAACGATAAAATTTAACTGTGTTGTCCCTACCGCCAAGATTCAACGAAGAAATCTAACTGTGTTGTCCCTACCGCCACGATTCAACGAAGAAATCTAACTGTGTTGTCCCTACCGCCACGATTCAACGAAGAAATCAAACTGTGTTGTCCCTACCGCCATGATTCAACGAAAAAATCTAACTGTGTTGTCCCTACCGCCAAGATTAAACGAAAAAAATCTAACTGTGTTGTCCCTACCGCCACGATTCAACGAAGAAATCTAACTGTGTTGTCCCTACCGCCACGATTCAACGAAGAAATCTAACTGTGTTGTCCCTACCGCCACGATTCAACGAAGAAATCAAACTGTGTTGTCCCTACCGCCATGATTCAACGAAGAAATCTAACTGTGTTGTCCCTACCGCCAAGATTAAACGAAAAAAATCTAACTGTGTTGTCCCTACCGCCACGATTGAACGAAGAAATCTAACTGTGTTGTCCCTACCGCCAAGATTAAACGAAAAAAATCTAACTGTGTTGTCCCTACCGCCAAGATTAAACGAAAAAAATCTACCTCTGTTGTCCCTACCGCCACGATTCAACGATAAAATTTAACTGTGTTGTCCCTACCGCCAAGATTCAACGATAAAATCTAACTGTGTTGTCCCTACCGCCACGATTCAACGATAAAATCTAACTGTGTTGTCCCTACCGCCACGATTCAACGAAGAAATCTAACTGTGGTGTCCCTACCGCCACGATTCAACGAAGAAATCTAACTGTGTTGTCCCTACCGCCACGATTCAACGAAGAAATCTAACTGTGTTGTCCCTACCGCCACGATTCAACGAAGAAATCTAACTGTGTTGTCCCTACCGCCACGATTGAACGAAGAAATCTAACTGTGTTGTCCCTACCGCCATGATTCAACGAAGAAATCTAACTGTGTTGTCCCTACCGCCAAGATTAAACGAAAAAAATCTAACTGTGTTGTCCCTACCGCCACGATTGAACGAAGAAATCTAACTGTGTTGTCCCTACCGCCAAGATTAAACGAAAAAAATCTAACTGTGTTGTCCCTACCGCCACGATTCAAC